CCAGTTGGAGCCTCCGAGTGCTCTTCAAAGGGAGCCCCATGTAGAGAGCATTACAATAGTCCAACCGGGAGGTAACAAGGGCATGAGTGACCGTGCGCAGGGCGTCCCGGTCCAGAAAGGGCTGCAACTGGTGGATCAGGCGAACCTGATAAAAGGCCCCCCTGGCCACGGCCGTCATATGCTCTTCTAAAGACAGTCGTGCATCCAGGAGGACACCCAGATTGCGAGCCCTCTCTGTGGGGGGGCAAAGATTCACCCCCAATAGTCAGCGATGGCACCTGCTGACTATATCAGGGCGCCGGAAGCCACAGCCACTCAGTCTTGGAGGGGTTGAGTCTGAGCCTGTTCCTGCCCATCCAGACCCGCACCGCCTCCAGGCAGCGAGACATCACATCAAGGGCATCGTTGGGGTGGTCTGGGGTGGAGTTGTACAGCTGAGTATCATCAGTGTACAGATGACACTTCACCCCAAAACCACGGATGATCTCGCCCAGTGGCTTCACATAAATGTTGAACAGGAGGGGCGAGAGAACTGACCCTTGTGGCACTCCCCATGTGAGACACCTCGAGGTCGACCTCTGCCCTCCTGCCAACACAAACTGCGAGCGGTCGGAGAGGAAGGAGGAGAACCACCGCAAAATGGTGCCCCCTATTCCTAACCCCCTCAACCACTGCAGCATAATACCATGGTCGATGGTATCAAAAGCCGCTGAGAAATCTAATAGGACTAGGACAGAGGAACAACCCCTGTCCTGAGCCCTCCAGAGATCATCCACCAATGCGACCAATGCCGTTTCTGTGCTGTACCCCTGCCTGAAGCCCGACTGGCATGGGTCCAGATAGATAGCTTCATCCAGGTGCCGGGGAAGTTGTCGTGCCACCACGCTCTCAACAACCTTCGCTACAAAATGAAGGTTGGAGACTGGACGATAGTTGGCTAATTCAGCCGGGTCCAGGGAAGGCTTCTTGAGGAGGGGCCTCACTACCGCCTCTTTCAAGGCAGCAGGAAAGGCACCTTCACTCAGAGAAGCACTTATAATTCCCTGGAGCCAGCCTCGTGTAACCTCCCGGGAGGCCAGTACCAACCAGGAGGGACACGGGTCCAATAAACACGTGGCGGCACTAATCTTACCCAGAACCCTGTCCACATCCTCGGGAGTCACAGGATCAAACTCCTCCCAGATAACATTCTCAAGACCTGCCCTCGTCTCCTCCCGTGGACTCATCCAATCGGAGTCCAAGCCATCCCGAATCCGAGCGACTTTATCATGCAGGAATTGCACAAAATCCTCAGCACAACCCTGCAAGGGATCTTCCCGCACTCCCCCCTGAAGAAGGGAGTGGGTCACCCTGAAGAGGGCGGCTGGGCGGTTCTCTGCAGATGCGATAAGAGTGGAAAAATGGTTAGATTTTGCCACTTTTATTGCCACTAGGTAGGTCTTGATATAAGACCTCACCTTTGTCCAGTCGGAATCGGATTGACTAGTCCTCCAAATGCTCTCTAGGCATCTTTTCCGATGCTTCATCTCTCTCAGCTCCTTAGAGAACCAAGGAGCCAATTGAGATCGGCATCGGGTCAGAGGCCGCAAAGTCACAACGTGGTCCAAAGCTCCAGTGGCCGCCCTTTCCCAGGCGGCCACCAGCTCTTCAGTCGAGTCGTGTGTTAGAGTCTCAGGAAACGGCCCAAGCTCCATCAGGAACCTTTCGGGGTCCATCAGGCGCCTGGGATGGAACCATCTGGTCGGTTCCGTCTCCCTGCAGCGGGGGAAGGTGGTAGGAAAGTTTAAGTGGAGGAGCGAATGATCTGTCCATGACAAGGGTTTGATATCTAGGTCCCCTCTACCAAGATCATTCAACCACTGACCAGAGATAAAAATCAAGTCCAGAGTGTGTCCCCCTATGTGAGTGGGGCCTTGAACTAACTGGGTCAGGTCATGGCCATCATGGAAGCCATGAACTCCCGAGCCACCTCTGACGCCTCACCCGCAGATGGAAGGTTGAAATCCCCCATGACAATAAGTCTGGGGGTATCAACTGCCACCCCGGCAATGACATCGAGTAGCTTAGGCAGGGTTGCTGCCACGTGGCAGGGAGCCAGGTACGTAGTCAGCAAACCCATCTGCACCCCACGGCCCCATTTCGCACAAAGGGACTCACATCCGGCTATCTGAGGAACAGTGGTCTCCCTCAGACAAAGACTCTCCCTAATAATGACCGCCACTCCCCCACCCCTCCCCTGGGCCCTTGGCTGATGAAATGCACAGAAACCTGGTGGGCACATCTCAACGAGGGGGACCCCCCCTCTTGGCCCAACCAGGTCTCCGTAATACCTGCCAGGTCTGCACCCCCTCCAAAATAAGATCACAAATGAGGGGGGCTTTATTAACCGCCGACCTGGCATTACACAACATCAGCCGCGGACCCTGGGCCTGAGACTCTGAACAGCCCAGGACACGAGTCACGCATTGGGGGCTGGAGTGCGCAATCGCTCGGAGACAGCGCATGCGCACCCCCAACACTTGATATGACCCCCTGCGCCCATCATACCTGCCCCTCCCACTCATTATTTCAATTACACAGCCCTTCCTGTTGTCCCGCTGCTCCCCAGTTAAATTTCCTTTCGCGACCCCTTTGCTGCAGCTAATCAACCTATCATTCCGCTCAGTCGCTATCTGGAACCCCCCCAGGTCTGCTTTTATAACCCCCTCCCTCCCTCCCGGGTCCCCTTAAAATTTTCCTTAAAAAATTAGCTAAAAAACCCCTCAACCCCCTCTTCGCTGCATGCCATCTCTCGGGGTTCCAAAGCCCATCATCAAGATAGGCCCTCGATAATGTGGAGGGCCAGGCCTGCGAGAGGGGGGAGTCTCACAGCGCAAGAAGGTCAGTTGTAAAATACATCCAGTATAGGCCCAAGCTTTGGGATGGTGATAAATATGGCTAGGGAGTCCGCCATGCTGGTATAAAAGGGGGACGCAATCCTGGGTGTAACTGGAAATTCAAGAGTCTCAAACAAGTCCCCACTGTCCTCTCACTACAGTGGGTAGGAATCCTGGCATATCGACCAACCGGAGGTAGGCCTCCAACAGCCACCCTCTCACGGTGGTTGGCCCCACTTGGCCAAGGAGCAGATGAAATGGCCCCACCGGTGATGAAAATGCAGTTCTGAACCAGTTCCTTCAGTACATCCCCAGTTGCCCCGCTCTATGCGGTAAGTGAACAAAGATAGTTAAGATGGTAGATAGATAAATAATGCCAGTCGTAGGCCCAGGGAAAGTCAGTTCATGTTTTCTCAGGCCAATAAACATGCCTTGGAAGGGTATCATCGTCGGTCGCTGCTGCCTGGCCACCAGCTATCCTCTCAGCCAGCTGTTGCACCGCTGTCCATGGCATTGTCAGCGCCCCCATAGGAATCGACCGGGCGCCGCCCCCGCCAGCACCCGCGTCCATCCGCCGTTGTCCTCGCCCCCGTGAGGCTTCCGGCTCCGACGGAGAGAAGGTCGCCCATGCTGCCGCCAATGCCGGTGACGCCCACGCCCATGCCGCCGCAGCCAATGCCGGCGCCGCCTCAGCTATTGCCGGAGCCGACATTACTTCAATTGCCGGCATCATAGCTCCTCAGCTGATCTTCTCACTGGAAAGCCTCAGGAAAATAGCCGGGCCAGCTAACAAGCAGGCGACGAGCAAGTTGTTAGTGCCGCTGCCGTCGCCCCCCATAAAGCCACCACAGCCGCCGCACTTCAATGCCGCCCCACCATTAGCGTCGTGGATTTCGAGAGTGTTACAACACTCTCCTGGCTGGCATAATGTTCTTCTTACCGGGGTGGTGGCCATAGATGGTCAAAACGGCCCCGTGGCTCCCAAAATCCGCCCGATATCGCCCATCCCTCCGCAGAGCTTCAGGGCACAACCGCCATCTTAGGCATGCGCAGAGAAAAGCCAGTTAAAGCTGGATGGAAAGCAATGTAGCAACAACATGTTCTTGGGATGCAATCAAGTTTAATTTTAATTTTTAATTTTTTTACTATACTATGGTTAAAATAAACCATTTCTTTTTTTTTAAAATACACATACACATACAAGTACATATAAAACAATACACAACATTAAAAACATTTAAGTATAATGTCTGATTTCTTACGACATTGGTGACATATATTCCTCTCTATATACATTCTTCTCTCGCCTTATATAACGATATTATTTTTATTAAAATTTAGTTATTCATTGTTATGTCTCATTTGGTACAGAATTTTGTTTCACTCTTTTAGGATCCTCTTTTTGTTTGGTGTTCCTTGTCTCCAGCCATTGATACCACTTTTGCCAAACCAGATAGTAGCCAGGTTCTTCCTTTTCTTGGATTTCCTTGGTGAGTTTGTCCATCTCAGCACATTCCATGACTTTGGATATTATTTTGTCTTGTGTTGGGACTTCTGCCAGTTTCCAATGTTGTGCATACATGATCCTTGCTGCAGTCAGAATGTGTGTAATTAAATATATTGTTTCTTTTTCATAGTTATGTGTGAATATACCTAATAAGTATGTTTCCGGTTTTAATGGTATTTTTTGTGTGGTTATTTCTTCCAATTGGGTTTTGATATTATTCCAGAATTGTTTGGCTTTGGGGCATAACCACCACATGTGGTAGTACATCTCCTTTTGTGCTTTGCATTTCCAACAGAGTGAGGAAACACTTTCGAAATCCGTGCAATCAAGTTTAAAGCAGCATGATTTCCTGCCAACTGCCAACTCCATAGGCAAGCACAACATATGCATTTATAAGCAATCTAGAACCTTTTTCAAATATGATCATGAAAAGAAAGCTTTTCAGAAGAATTAGTATTGAAATAAAATATTGGAAATGTTTAGTTTAGAAAACAACTGAGGGAGGAACTAGACAAAACAAATGTATATAATGATTCACAGTATTAAGAAAATGGATGAAAAGCATTTTTTTCCTTTTTCTAGAATACTAATGTTAAGAATCATGAAGGTAAATAATAAGAGATTCAGAACTGAACATCAACAGACAAAAATAATCCTTCATGTCTGGCAAAATTCAGCTATGGATTTTTCTTTCTCAAGGTAACAAGATTGTGATCACCAACCTGCAGTTTTAAAAGATAACAAGGCAAATTCACAGAGGACAAAGTCGCTAATAGTACCGATGGTTATATACTCCCTAGAAAATGAATAATCCTATTTCTGATTAATTGATGCTAGGAATACTAGTGTAGCAGAAGGATGTTACATTTAGCTTTCATTTGTGGGACTTTTAAAGATGAGTGATGAGATTAGATAAATTTTTGATCCATCAGTGTTCTTCTTACATTCTTATTCTTCTTATTGGAATATACAAGCATAGATACCAAAATGTTATGGAGCCAGATGCAAGAAAAAGAATGGATATGTGCATTATTTTTCACACCACAGTTCTGCAAATATCTGTTCAGAAGAGAGCTCCACCTATTTCAACAGGATATACTTTCAGGTAAGGATATCTATGTCAGAGGTAATTAGCCCCGTTATCTTCCTGGGGTAATTGCTTGGATCGTGGCATTCTCCTTGTGTATACTTTTGATAAAATAAGACCGGAATACATCTTCCAATAAACTCATATTTATTGTAAAGAAAAATAAAACATCTAACTATCTAAAATTAATTGTTACATTTTTATAAAGTTCATGCCGGCCACCTCTCTGTGGTCGGACTTCTTGGCAAGAGAAGAAAGAAAAAGTGAAGTAGAAAGAAAGGAATGCGGATACACGTAATTAGCTTACTGATAACAAAAGTTGGCAAGCTACGGAAAGTCTGACAGTCCAGAAATAATGAGCTATGCTGGTAAATACAAAAACACAGTGACAATCTAAAATTCCTCTTTTGTTTCTTAAAAAAATCTTTAAACTTTCCATTATCATTTAATTATAATGTATCCTGATCAGTACCTGACCTAGATCTTTCTCACATGTATTTACCAGTGTCAAATGGAGTACAAAAAGCATGTTCTCTTTCACTGAACTTCACTCCTTCCCTTAAATAATCCTTTATTTTCAGGAGTCATTTAAAAGAATCCATAATTGGTTTTAGGCTTTAAATTGAAAAATGTTCCCCCATTTCTACAGCACACTACCGTACTGACATTGTTCTGATACACAGCTTTATATTTATGTTAAGAGTGAAAATGTTTTGAGGATAAGTCTGTTTTGCAATCCACAAACCTATTGCCAAATTGTTGGGAACTAGATCCTGAATCTGTGCTTTGCTAATCTTTTGAAAATTTCTTTGTAATTGTTCTCTTGAAATGATTACACACAACCAAAGAAGGAATACAGAGATTTATATTCATCCATGAGGCAATCTAAACACAAATGACAATTGTATTTAGGAATAACACTTGTGTTTGGAGAATAAGAAATGTAACAATTTCCGTTTTACAATTCGAATAGTATAGATAGTGGTTTTCCAACCATAATATGACAAGGTGTCTTTGAAAAATTCCATCATTTTGTAGTAAAACAAAGGATAATTTTCTCCAGTTAGAAACCATTTGTTTATAGAAGTATTCCCTTTTAACTTTATCTAATTCTTATTGAAAAACTTGTTTTCTTTTTAAATGGTACAATTTTCATTTGGTTAAAGCAAAAATCACAATAGTATTCACATTACTGAAGCTTTCTGCTTTTCATGATACACTAATGAAGTCATTAAATTACAAGGTCAGAGGCCCCAATTCACAGAGAATAATACTGGTTTATTATTTCTAATCTTATTAAGCTTGAAAATGGTCTTGAGATGTAATGTCAACTCGTAATGGCTGAAGTATTGATTATATTAACTTGAGCTCATGGATAATTCACAGACCCATTTCATTTAATACCTATAATTTTTAAATTGATCTGATCCAAAAGGCAAACAATCCTAAATTATATTTATAAATAATGTAAATTTATTGATTATACAGTGATATTTTCCTGAATTCCTTAGAAAACTGTTTTGCACAACTACTTAAAAAAATGAAAGAAACCAGCATTTTTAGAAAAAGGTGTTTTATTGATCTGATAGCATTCTAATGTAACATTTCATATTGGGAAATACATCTCAGACTCTCATAAATGACTTTCATACTGGAAAATGCAGCAAGCTCTTATAAAGAAATATATTACCATATGATATTGTCTATTGATGAATAATTACAGTATTTCCCCAAAAGGAAGATAACATTTTCCCAAAAATAATTAACTTTGTGTTGGGGTTGTCTGATATATGCAGAATAGACTACTTAAAGATAGCAGATGCTATTAATATAGATGGTCTACACTATCTTTGCCCTTCAGATATATTCTTTAGTCAGCTGTAAAAATGGTTTCAGTTACAGCAGCTACCAAGGGAAAATCTGGTGATTACACAGGAATTGGTGGTCTGTGTTTCCTTTTGAGGCAGTCAGGGTAATCTAAAATTAAAGGCCATTTTCCTTTCATCTAAGTACAATCCATTTCACTTCTACAATCCTCTAAATCTATGTATAAAATAGATATAAAATATGTATGTATAAAATATCTATGTATAAAAATACCATGTTGAAAAGACCACCCCCTCCATTGTGTACATTCTAATTGATGTTTTCAGGGATTGGTAAACTACAGAATGAGGCTGTATACAGGCCTCACCTTTATTCCAATCTGGTTTCAAAATTCCTTTCAAAAATGAATGTAGTCTTTCTTAACACCTGCTTTTAGAGGAGGAAAAGAAAGCCAAATGAGAAAGTGTCAGTAAGAGATTAAGGATAGGTGTAATGATTCCCTAGAGTCTAAATATGACATCTTAACTGCTATGCTACATTGGTTCTTCTTTTCCTTCTAGGGAATATGCTACATGATGGCATAGTATCATTCTTAAAATACTTTGGGAAAACAAAGGAAAAATAAATCATTTATAAACAAAATAAAAATCCAACAGTGATGATGGTAAAAAACTATGGGATGCTTACTCCCCCAAGCAACTATTGCTATGTCTCCTTATTGCTTAGGTAAATGCAAAAACTTCAAGCCATCTATAGAATTTCATTGTAACATTTTTCCCTTAACCTGTCTTTCTCTTTCATTCTTTTATTGCTCATTTATTCTCAAAATATTGTAGACTCTTAGTGCCATATTACTTTGAGGAGCAGAAAACTGGAGTGCATCCACACATTATTTTTCTGCCATTTGTCCACATGGCACCTTTCACATTACATTCACTCAAGTCATGAAGAAAATATGATATCTTCATCCATTTTTCTGTATGAATGGTAAAACAGATGTGGAGAATGATTGTAAATGAGAAACATCTGGGAAACAACTTTCTGCCAATCTTCTTCCCATACAACCACCATTTTGGTCACTTCTGTCCCAGAGGTGATGAACTGGTGTCTGGGTTTTAACGCTTTAAATAAAGTCGGTATAGAATTTCCTGATTAAATATTCACACATATTAAATCTTCCTTTTGTGCATTAAAATTGCACAACAGAGAAAACAGTTCTTTTTCTTTACTTGAAATTTTGTCTTCAAGAAAGAAAAGTACTTACTTAATATATACTGTTCAAGTATTGCCACAGGGGTACATGTTTATCACTGCATTCAATATCTGAACTAGAACTGAACTATCTGAAACAAGGATCGTGACTATACAGTATATTTTTCTTTGAGAAAGAAATTAGAAATATTCATAAAAAATCTCTGCCTTGAATTTTTAAAATTGTACAAATGAATCCTGAGTTCTTACTATTGCTTTTGCTAAATCCAATGGCATTGATTGGAATAATGTTATTTTTATAAAATTGTGCACAAACATTTTTGGCAATAAAATTATTGCAACAGTAAATTAAATAACAACAGGTTTGCAAACATAAGTTATCTCTCTGATGCAGCTCTTCTTTATAATAAATCTGATCCTGTAACCTGTCTTTTCATGAAAACCATATTTCCTATGATCAAACCACAGGTATCAGAATTATCACTAACAAATTAAAAGTGAAAATGAAAAGAATAAAGATGATACTTTTTTTACAGAAGTGTTGGTCTTTTTAGCTGATTTTCTAAATATACTGGGATTTCAGGGAAAAATGATTCTTTTGTTTATTCTTCTGTCACTGTGGCTTTGATAGCAAGGTGGAACATGGTCAACTGAAAACAAAAAATGTGCATCGAACTACAGAACCAACGTTTCAAGTACTTCATTGAAAATTATTTCCTAAAGGAATATTTATTACCTTAGAGGACATGTGTAGGCAGACCATATTATTTAGAGACCTGTAATACCAAAGTAATGATCACAATAAATCAGAGTTCATTACAATGTAAGGGAAGGCTGGATCAGGGTTTGCAAGTAGGTAATGTGACCTAATTTATTATCACAACATTATTTTATACTCATTTGTCCTGTGGAGAGAGGGAACTGGACTGAGGGTATTTAATTCATCCAACTTTCTGCAGCACTCTGACTTCACTTCGTAAATTCAGGCTTATAAAGCTGTTTTGCAATTCTGAAACCATATAGGGTGGAATGATTTCAACATAGATATTTTTAAAGGAAGAATTAACCAAACTAGCCCTGTAACCACATGCATTAATTTCTGAGGTGCATTAATTTCTGAAGTGATTTTCAAGGAATCATCTTTGATCTCTGTTATTTGCAGGATTGCAATTTATCTTGAAAGTTGTTCAGCTATGTTTTATTTCAATGATTCAAGTGCCATATCATTTCAACAATTATAGATGTGTCAAAATAGGATATATTATGAGCTTCTATATGCTTGTCATTTTGTCTTCCTTTCTTAATTCCCACTAATATAAAAGTAATTATAATTGTTTGTATAGCTATTTTCCACAGTTGCATATTTAATTTAATTTAACGTTCTATAATGTAATTTGTTCAATTTTAATGCCACTCAACTCTGGTCAACTCATAAAAATAACATAATATAAATAAGAGACAAATAGAAAAATAAATAAATGACCAAAACAACTATAAGGACTAAAGTATTATTACATGATAGCAATCAACCAATAAGCAAACATCAAAAACAAGGGAATCCCATCCATTTATCACTAGGCCTAATAGAATAGCAATGTTTTCAAGGCCTTTTAAAATATCAAGGTGGGACCTCATTGCCAAATCACATTTTTTGGAAACTTCATTTTGAGATTATATTGTTTAAGTAACTTTATCAAAGATGATAGGAAAAAACTGAAAAATGTTATTTAACATGTAAGGATATAGACCAGTGATAGCTAACCTTTTCTGGACCAAGAATCCAAAGTGCACGCGCACACACGCAATTGCGTCCGAACCCCCAAAATGCAATATGTGTGCGGCCCCCTGCATCCACCCCGCCCCCAAGGATGCGTAATCCTGCCACACACACCCCAAACCTCGTGCATGCATGTGCAGCCCCCCACATGCACTCCACCCCCCTGCACATGCACAGTAGAGACCCAAAGACCAGCTGGCCG